ACCGTTACGTGAACTAAATTAATTACTCACAATATATATATATATATATATATATATATATATATACTGTGGCGCTACTCGGTGACACCATGACATGACTCGTATGAACTCTGAACTTGTACATGCTCGTAAGCTATGCGTGTGGCACTTCAAGCACATACATATAAGGTATGCAGTACATTTGTAGATGGCGACCACCCCTCTTCTCTGTTAGCACAATACTCGCACCATATTTCGATGCCTACATCCTAAGTATTAGGGCTCGAACTTCAGATTTAATCCCTTATACCTGAGCCATACCCGACAGAGTGAGACACTGCTATACTGAGAGACTACTGCACACTTCTGCTTATTCCTCGTATCTCTAAACATAGCTCGGTGCACTATTTGTGTCAAACAGAGTCTGCCCAAGCTTCGCGGCCTGCGTGGCGCTTGTGTGCTTGTTTCTGGTGGGATGGATACAAACCGTGATCAAATGCGCGATATGATCAAGCAACGCTTACCGATACTACAACGGCTTACCCTGGAGAGTGTATGTGCTGTGTGTGCCTACGCTATCAGTTGTATTTGTCACGTGGGTTTTTTTTCTCGCATTTATCAACCAGTTGTATCGTGTGCATATGCGGATATGATATGTTTTTGCCAAGCACCTGGACCTGATCATCGTCCTGTCTTTGCCTACTCCTGCGTATAGTATTATTCGGAATAGCCAACATATTGTATTTCAATCATACTAGAACATATCATATCATATTCAAATTCCAGTATTTTTAATATTCAGATACCATTGTTTTATCATATTTAGATACCATTATCTTATCATATTCAGACCCCCTTTATCATATTCAAATACCCTTATTTCATCACATTTACACCATACTCTAGTACATCCTCTCCAACTACCGTCCTTCTCACTTCATTCCATTCTATATATACCCCGCCGCCCTTCTCACTAAATTACATTCTATATATACCTCACCGCCCCTTCCCCTCTCCCACACAGATGCCCGAAGACTGCAGTATACTACCCCCGACCATTGAGCACCTACGGTTCAACGGACATACCCGTGCCCTACACACAAGCCCAAACAACGCAGCAACCTGTGACACGCACACGTGTCAAAACCACACCCAAGCCACACATACCCACCAGACCGATACAGCAGCCGTCGCACCGCTTCCGCAGTTGCACACACTGGCATTGAACTGCTGGGTGAGTGGCCAGGGGGCTATGCCACTTGCTACCCTCACTACCCTCACGACGCTGCGTGTGGATACGTTTGCCGATTGGGATACGCTGCTGCGAGTGGGGACCACGTGCCCGGCGCTGGCGCATTTGTACGTCCATGAGGTGAGTGGGAAGACACTCTGCGTGGGCTGGAGTGGGAGGGTGTGTAGGTAGAAGAGAAGGGAGCGTGACGATGTGTGAGGGTTAGCTTAGTGTGTCAAGTATAGTGTGATCCTGGGTTCATTTGGGAGGGTGTGGTGAATTATGTGTGTGCACGTGGAGGTGTGAGCCTGTGAGGTTATAGGGCTGTGTGGGAGGGTGTAGCTGTGGGTCTGAGTGAAATTGTGTAGGTATCGGTGTGTGAGTATTTGGTCTTAGGTGCGTGCGGGGCGAATAGAAATACTGGCAAGTGTGGGATTGTAAGGATGAGTGCGGGTGACTAAGGTGGGTAGAGGGTAATGGCTACCAAGTGCACACATGGCGTGGCTGTGATGATATGATGCATTGATGTTGCTCAGGTATTACTAGCTGGCGCGAATCGAGCATGCATATACATATGCACTCAAACCGAGATATATTTATGGTCTATGTATCTCAATCGATTAAACCAACGTTGTGTTAGAAATGATGGTGCGGGCATCTGCTTTTACAACCATCCACTAACCGGTCGGTCATCGTGAACTTCTTACACATCTCTTCATTAAATCCTTGCTTACAACAACGTAACAACCAAATCATAACACAAACACTTCCCTTACCTTTACCATCAGGGGCGACCTTGGGTATGCTCTGATCGACCCCACTACTCTGGGCGTGGGCGTTTCTGGTTGGAGTCAGAGTGGAAACGCTACCATGGCATGTGTTTGTCGGTGTGTTTGTACATACCTCTCCAGACCCGTATCACATGCAAGCGGACAGGTCGAGGGCGCACGGTCCCAAGCAAGACTTTCAGCCAGTTGGTGATTGAGGAAAGAGTGCGCTTCTACGATGAATGTGATTTTTCACCCGTATAGCCATGTAGTGCCGTCCTTCAGTTAATAGTAAAGGTGCATTCTATATGAGGGTTTGTAAGGACCCTTTCGCCAGTCTAGCCTCATACTATGCAGTACTTCAATTATCCTTTATAGTGGTTCATGCTACATGAGGGTTTGTATGTACTATATCGCCAGTCTAACATCATGTTGTAGTACTTTTTATATGATGTTTTGTAAGTACCATTTCTAATGAATCGCTCACTTAGTGATTGTATTTTCTTATACTTCAAAAGTATCTATTACACGATTGTTCATTTCAGTCTAAATGATATATCGTGGGTGCTTTAATACTAAACTTTTTGGATCTATATTCAATACCTTCGGCTTAAGCACTTTCACGGATGTTAGGCATCCTGCTCTTGATAATGAACTGTTTGATGTTGTTTGATGTAGTCGTAGAACTTGGTGGGATCGATATCCAGCGCTAACGTCGGTGGCAATTCGGCTGGGTATGAGGGTGAGTTTTGGTATTCGTCCTCGTTCAGGAACTTACCTACGTACTCCCACATGGTGAGGTCTGAGTACGGGCTATTGACAGCTTCGTTGCTCACAATATCATCCTTTACAACAAAGCTATGCTGTGTTGTGTCCACAATGTAGTACGAGTAGTTCACATCAGCCTCATTATAACCGGTGAGTGCAGTCCAGAGATAGTCAGAGAAAGTCAAGCTAACTTCGGCAAACCCGGGTAGATACTCCATCACACCGCAAGTATAAATTTGAGAAGTCAGCAGTGCGTAGTAGCCGCGCTGGACAATATCATGTGCCGACCCAGTGTAGGCGACGGGGAATTCCGGGTTTTTCGCCAAGAAATCGTTGAAGACTGGTGGCATCTCATGTAGACCTCCTGCTTCGCACAGATCGACTATATCCTGCTCTAAGTATTGTGCTTTGGCCGGTCCGCAGGCGTTCCATTGTAACATGGTGTCCCCGGCCTCTCTTGGTAGCATTCCAATGTAACTGTCAGGCTGAAGTTTGTCAACACCATAGTTCCTCACGAGATAGTCAGCCCATACCTGCACACCCAAGCTACCAGCACTGCATCCTCCGGAGGCTATCTCCTGGTCGACCGGAAATTCTGATTGCGCTTGCATCCAATTTAGTACCGCCAAGGTGTTGTTGTAACCCGCAAAGTGGACAGTCTCAGTATGCGTGCCGTTAGTAAGTTCACGTGTCGCATCGCCGATAAACATATCGCCGCTGCAGCAGTTGTTTACTATCGAAGTCCACCCACCCGAAGCTAAAGGGTTGCCCTCGAGATCATAATTGAAGTAGCCCTCACTGTTGGGTGAGAAACGTGTGAGTGCTGTTGGTGCTGCCACACACGTCTCATAGTCGTAGCACGCACCACCTCCCTGGAACCATAACATGACCCTATCAGTTGTACCAGGAAAAACCAGGAAACCAAATGGTGATCCATCAAGGCAAACAGTATTACTGTCGGGTGCGACAATCCATGATTTTTTTCCCTCGGGCAAATTTTCCTTCAAATACGCGTAATTACAATCTTGATCTCCAGTATTCTCGCAAATTTCATAGTCGGCTAGGTTCTCAGCAGATGGACCCGTCGACTCGTCCCCTGCCTCACTAAGCGAGAAAGCGCTAGTTTGGGCTGCCAGCCAGATACTTGTCAGCGTGATAGCAGACGTCGTCGACTTCATGTTTGGGCTTCGCACTTCTGTTCGAGGGCTGTTGTCAGCGACTGATATTGATATCTTGATACTGTAGTCTAGACAGTGTGGCACACTGCTTATAGCTTGTGTGTATGATATTTGGGGCGTAAAATGGGGATACCCCCCTGCTCCCAACCGAAATTCAAAAAAAAGAACTGACTCCATAGTACAAAAAGACTAAAATATAGTATTTATGTAATAAACGAAATACCATTAATAGTCTTGTCCTATATTTGTTTTTGTTAAAGAAATATAATGTATAAATACATATGTTTGACAAATAGCAACATCTGAACAACATGTAAACTCTCCTGAAACAAAAAGGAACAACTTCAAAGTATGTACTGTACCTCTGGATTCAAAAGGACTTCTGGCTAAAAGTAAAACGGAATGTGTGCCACTGACAACAATGTGTACATCATTTTTATTTATTGACAACTATCGCTCTATGGATAAATACCCACCCTGGCCTAATAAGGATATATATATCATACCAAACAATAAAAATGTGCCGACTGCCGAGCTTCAACCAGCCGAATTGATAGACTGTCAACGACTTATACCCGGTATGTATTATAATACTAATTAATATGAAGTGCTGAGGCCTGAGCCAGGCTGAGTGTCTATAGACTGTAATATGGCTATTTTGTAAAAAACAAATATTACTATATTAGTAAGTGCTCTATGCGTATTTTTAACGTTCATGACTTCATGGCCATGAACTTATGAAGCAAGTGACCGTTTGGCATTATTGTTTTATTAAAAAACTAAATAGAATAGAATTCCATAGATATATGTAGAAGGTTGACGTTAAATATTTCCCTATGATCGCTGCTTGAAAAAGCTACTGAATGCCAAAGTCGTTATGTACTGAAATCGAATTATTGGTGCTTTACATCATGGCTCATGCTGTCTTGCTAAGACACTGACAGAGAAACTGGGATCCTGTGCCAATGCGGTCTCTACCACGGGGCTGTGACTGTGAGACTGTGATGGACTGATATGTATTTATGGTATGTACATACATACCCCTATTACGCTATTATGAACCACTATCCTTGCCATTCTACTCTATTGACATAGAGAGACAGGGAGAGGTTGGGCTCTGGGCAGCTACTATTTAGAACCTTGGACTAAGGACTAACTGATACAGTGATACCGCCTGTCGGCTATCAGTTTATTTATGTATTTTATTATGACATTGTGTTTGCTATTATTATTTCAAAATTTCCCAAAAACTGCTATTGTCTCAAACTCAATTCAGAAATTTGTAGAGGTAACTATTTTGAACTTTGGGAAGTGGATTTACCGCAAACACGAGAACGATGTCGACGTCTCTCCTTCTGTACCATCTTGGACTGCTAAAGAATAATTTGGCACGGATCGGAAATCGTTTCATACAACTAATCACTCCTGGATAAGACAACAATCAAACTGGCTTTACAATAGTAATGAGCAAGGTAGCAGTTTCCATAGAGGTGACAGGTGATCCTGTAACTCGATTACGAGAGAATTCGGATATTCAATACTCCATTTGCGAACGACGGTAAGTAACGTTGAGCTGACCGTACGAATGCTATAAATACGTAAGTATTTCAGTCTCTTCACATCACAGCAAAAAAATCACAAGCTAAAGAATACATCACAAACAAACCACCAGAGCATGACTCACTGTTTCTTGACCACTAGTGCTTTAGCTGCGGTTACTGCAGCGGTGATCGGTCAGCCCATCACTAAGGCAGGCAACGCCACTTGCATCGGCTATGATGTGTGTCCTACCCTGTTCCCACAGCCACACAATGTTGGCGAGTACCCCACCACTTACGCCCTGGATTCAGAGCTGACCTCCCCGCTGATTTCGAGTGGGGTGTGGGAACCGCGGCTTACCAGATTGAAGGAGCTTACAATCAGGGTGGTCGTGGAGTCTCGATTTGGGACACCTATACCGGAGCCAACACGGTAGGCATGCCTGGATCCCAGTGTAAGGAGGCGCCATGTCCCGTCAACGCAGCTCAGAGTATCAAAGGTGCCAGACCTTATCTACGGCACGAATGGAGATTACCCCGATTCCATGAAGAAAATGGTCGGTGACCGTATGTCAGCCTTCACGGAAGAAGAAAGGTCACTGTTGATTGCCCACAGACCCGACTATTTCGGCCTGAACCACTACGGCACATCATACGCACGTGACTGTCCCGACTACAAGTGTGACCCTCAGGCTAAGAATGGTAAATGGAACACCGTGAACGTTCCCGATTGTGTAAACGGAAACGGCTCGAACTCGGTTCAAATCCTGAATGACGATCTGGCTGCAGGTCAGTCCGCGTGGTTGTTTGGTTCCGGTTGGGGTTTCCGAAAACTGCTGAACTGGGTTAGTCATCGAGACGGCAAAGACTTGCCCATCTACGTCACAGAGAACGGATCGTCTATGCAAGCCGATACGGCACAACAGGGGAAGTGCGACACCGGACGTGTGCTATTTTACTTCAGCTACCTCGACCAGATGAGCAAGGCCATCAGCGAAGATGGGGTCAAGGTGGCTGGATACTACGCGTGGAGCTTGATGGACAACTTTGAGTGGGAGCGTGGATACCGTGAGCGATTCGGGGTGCTGTACGATGAGTTCAACTTCTGCCACGTCGAGGACATCGAAAACCCCAACTGCGACCCCAATTCGCCCACCACCGAGACACCCGTGTACGATTCCAGCACCGGTGACTACTCCGAGAGGTGTGGTAACACGTGCTTGTTCTCGGAACAGCCCGATCCAACGACCGCCATTGACCAGACCCGTCACCCCAAGAATTCCCTTCTGTGGTTGACTGAGGTTTGGAAGTCGCAAAAACTGGTCGACCCCGGAACCTTCCTTTTCGCCTCCAAGGCCGGTGACATATGCTATGGACCCGAAGGCACCACATATAACGGTAACTCGTGGATGTACGAGCTTCAAGCCCATCGAGGAGAGAGTCTGAGCGCTCTGCAAAGTGCCACATCTCTACAAAAAGCTAAATCGGCAGCTCGTGCTTGTGGGCAATATATTCATGTACAATAAAACGACAAAACTGATTGTAGTATTCACTGACCATTTCAACGCCATTCAATTTGAAAAAATATTAAGCGTGCCACTAATTGTATTATTTGAACTTTTATGCAAAGTATATGGATCAAATGACTCGAATGACCACACTGTGGCTCCACATGGTGCTGTTTTAATGGTTTCAATCTAAACTACAACACAACATGAGCGAAAAAAAAAAGCCACAAATTCGAACACTACAATATAACAACATGTATACTATCATACAGACAAATTCACAAGCGCACACACACACAATCACACAAACATATACACTCACTATATATAC